GGGGGGGGGGGAGCTCGCCAAAAAATTTTGCAGTGAAAAAACATTTTTCAGTAAAAATGCCCTTGGTGTGCGTCCGCCCCCCTTCGCCCTATTATCGTTCCGGCGTCCCTGAATAGGATTTACTCATACTGACCGGAATGCTTGTATATCTCAGAATGCTTGGAAAAGCAGGAAAAATCCGTTTACTGTATTAACTCAATGGACATTTTTTTCAAAATAGTAGGAAAATCCAATCTTCATACTAATTGCAATTTTCATACCATGTATATTTAACAATTATTCACCGAAGGCGAGGTGATTATCGGGGAATATTCACCGAGACGAAGTCGAGGTGAATATTCCCTGATAATCACCAAGTCTGAGTTTTAGTATTTTTACACAAGTCTTTTGTCTTTTTTTGGGACTGAAGTTATTTTAATTTCTTTATCAGTAACTTCCACAAAACGGCTAGCCGCCATTTTGCAAATTTCGTTTTTATTATATTCACCTGTAGGTGAATATGACTGCTTAATTACGTCAAATTTGACCAATCAACTTGTAGGACTTGTTACTGTATATTCACTTGTGCAAAAATACGAAAGTATGGATATACAGTAATATGGATTTACTGATGCAATTCAGCAATTGCAAATTTCATAGTATGGATTTCACTATTTTTTTCCAGTGATTAAAACGAAATACGTTAAGATAGGCGTCTGAAAAGCCATTTGGCTCCATAGACAAGGTTTTGTACTTTTTCAAAAATTGTACAACCTGAGACGACAGCCACAACTCACCACAGCGGTTGGTGCTTCGACAGGTCTCGCTTTTTCTTTATGAAAGCTGTAGTTTGCTCCTAAAAATTGAGATAAGTTGCATAAATGCATGGCTGCAAAAGACAACATTTGGTTTGGAGGAAATTGGATCCTAACATTCATTTCATGAAGTTTTGAGATGGCATTTTGAGATATGAAAAGTCACTTACAATATCAGTGCTTTTTTACCTGATGATTTTTTAACTTTATCAAGAATAACGTCTTCTTCCACATCCTCGTCACAACGTGCAAGTATTGCTACGTGATGTCCCTAGAGGAACGAGACACTACATTAAACTAAAATATACAAAAATAGGTACACCTACAGGTAAGTGTACAGGAGTTTGATGTGGAAACGTGAATACAGTACCATTTTGGTTAATTTGTTAATGATTGAATCACAGTTGTGGGTGCACTGTATAGAGTATTTTACTATCCAGCCGAATACTGGATATGGCTGATAGTTGAAAAATTTCCTGCAAAATTATCCTCCGGCGGGATATTGGTTATATAAGGCTCAGGCCTAACCATTCAAGGTTAAATGATTAATTTCATTGGTTATAAAGTGATGGTTTTTATAATATATTGACTTGAAATGATAGGAAAGAACTTCACAGTCCAACATCAATAAACATGCATGGTTGGAAAAGCCTTGCTCAAATTTCAAACCTACTTTTTCGCATTTGCAAGTGAGCATGAAAAATCTTGAAAATAATACCAGCTTCTCTACAATCATTTCAAGTAAAATATGATAAATACTTGTACTTTTTAAACTATATTACATCATTTCTATTTTCTATAATGAGATTATTTCACCATCTGACCCAAATATGACATCTGGTGCATACCTAGATAACACTGTAGATGCAAAACTACAATTTATTAGTCAAGAATATAAACCTTAAAGAATTTCTCAACATCTCTGACATGATTTGCACATACTCCTTTTCTTGATGATGGAACCCCTTCTCCTTGCTTCAAAATGAACATATAAGAAATGTATTTTAATTAATGATATTTATGGAACAATGATGGTGGCAATTATGGTTTGTCATGATGGTGATATGGACTAGTGAAACAACCCCCAAACAAACCCAAAACAAGTCCAAAACAAACTCAAAACAACCCCAAAACAACCCCAAAACAACCCCAAAACAACCTCAAAACAAACTCAAAACAAAGTCAAAACAAACCCCAAAAGAACCTCAAAACAACCCCCAAACAAACCCAAAACAACCCCAAAACAAATCCAAAACAACCCCAAACACCCTCAACACAAACCCAACACAAACCCAAAACAAACCCAAAACAAACTCAAAACAACCCGAAAACATTAGTATATGATAAGTGGCAATACATCCTGAGTCACATGCCCTTCCTACTTTATTGTTTTACTTTGTCTAATGCCAGACAATTTTACTTTAAGAGAAAATGCTGCCACTCAACAGTATAATATGATTACAATATGGGGATAATGAATATGATGGTGGCAACTATGATGGTAGTATTAAATGTACAGTATAAGTAATGGTGATTTTATAATTGTAATGGTGATGGCAATTATTACTGGTGATGTTGATGGTATTGGCAATGCTCCTGGTAAGATGGTCATAGTTATGACAGTGGTAATGTACATGTAGCTGGTAGGTGAGCAATGATGGTGATCATTGTAATGATGATGGTTGGAATAATCTGTTGGTTATGGTGACAGTAATGGCAATGGGTGATTTTGATAGTATTAATAAGCAATTATTGGATGAGGCTGAGCATGATATCAAGAATTATTCAGACCGAGGTCAATGTTATCTGCCAAAGCGAAGCTGAGGCGGATAACATAGACCGAGGTCAGAATAATTCTTGATATCATGCGAAAGCCGAATCCAATAATTGTTTTATTATACATTTAAAGACATGAGAAACGTATAAAACGATTCCTGTTCATGAGGTAGGAAAAGTACAATTTGAGTATCAAACACCTTGCACAAAGTCAAAGGTCAGCTAAATATTCTATTTCTACTTCTATTTACCCCTTTGTGGCTTTTTTCGTGCTTTCACTATCCTTATCTGCCAATAATTTGGAGAGTTCACTTTCATTCAGCGAAGCAAATCTGCTGTAGGCCATTGTTTGTTTTGTTTTTTCGCGCGCTTATAGGTTCAAGCTTTTGGCCGCGCAAGGGTTTGGGCACGAGAGAGTCCAATAATTTTTTTTTGGATGCAAGTTCGATCCAAAAAAACAATTATTGGACACTGATGACGTCATCGGCGGAAAATACGTAATAAATGCCAAATACTGAAAATTAGCCGGTGCTTTCTGACCAATTAGAAACGAGAATACATATTAAATGTATAATAATACTGGTTACTGGGTGGTTGTTGAGGTCACTGCTAGAAATAATGGTTGATGGTTGCTGCAATAACAGAAGTGGTGACAATGATATTGATAGCAGTCAGTCTTGTTCCCAGGCACTTGGATAGTAGTGAGGATTAATTGTAGTAGTGGCCATGTTAATTATAGCTGTGACTAATGTTACAGTACCATGCCAGAGATAATGATGGTACTGGTGGTGACTAAAATGTAGGTTGAGAATTATAGTGTGGTGAAATAATGGTGTTAATAGTGTGAGAGTAATCATGGTATTGTGGTGATAATGATGATACTGGTGATGATGGTATTTATGGTGTAATGATAGTGATGGTACCAGTGATGGTAATTATGATAATGGTGGTGGTGCCGTGATGGTTAAGTAATGATGGTATTAATGGTGCAATGATGGTAATGGTACCATGAGTGATGGTAATTATGATATTGGTGGTGATGGTTAAGTAATGATGGTATTTATGGTGCAATGATAGTGTGGTGGTAGTTTTGGTGATAATAATCGCAGTAATGGTGGTAAATTAAACAGCAACATTAAGGAAAATACAAACCCAGCTAATAAACACATATTTTGGCAGATTTGTATTAGGATCAATCACTTTCAAACCAGCATACAACATTTTACCACTATTCCATTCATCACTTAGCTCCTCTAAACCTTCATCTAAATGCCATAAATTTTAATGGGTCACTTCACATTCCACAAATGATCTGCACACCCATCCCCTTCCCCCCACCCCAATGGTACAGATAAAATATACATGTTCAATCCAAGGGATGGGGAAGGGGAGGAAAACAATGTTCTCACTAGTAGGGTGAGGCGGTTTCTACAAAAAACCGAAAACCGACCAAAAAAAACCGAAAAAACCGAGTGAACCGGTTTTTTAAAAAAATACGTTCGAAAATCGAAACTATGCCGTGTTCGATATGAATATTTTAGACCTGTCTTCGCAGATGTCCGCCTTTGTTGCTAGCAAATCAAAATTCACCATCGTTTGATCCGCTTAATCGCTTATCCGTTCAAGACTTCAAGCTCGCGCAAAACTGTATGGTTCGATTTTAGTAAAATACCGATTTTTCTTCGTTTCTTCCCGGTTTTTTTGTTTTTTCCGGTTTTCCGGTTTTTCTCCAAAAGTAACATCGAGTAATTCGGTTTTAAAAAAAAATTGGTGTTTTCCGGTTTACCGAAAAACCGCATCACCCTACTCACTAGTAGATGCTGACCCAAAGTTCAAAATTTCATAATGAAATTCACAAGCACAATTGTAAACAAAGCCTCTGATTTAATTATATATCTTTGAATTAAACAAGCCAAGGAAATGGCTAGTGTGTGAATTTCACCGTGAACGTTTAACATCCACAACAAGTTAGGATGTCCGGAACAAAGTTCAGGTCATTCTAGACAAAAGTAAATTGAAACAACTGTAATGCTCAAGAAATACAGTGTGATAATAAAACCGGAAGTGAAGCCCAAATGCAACAAATCTGACAATTTCATAATTGCTACAGTGCATTATATACATTCCTGGGCACGCCGATTAATTCATTAAGATCTTGCTTGATAAAATATACTTTACACTACAATTCAAGATTTATATTTTGATGTTTTTACTCCCAAACTTCGAAGCAAAATTCAGAATTCAAAATGACAATATATGAGACCGTGTTGCAATATCACATTTGTGGTAAACAGATAGGTTTTATGACAGGAAAGCAAGTCATATTTTCATTATAAATAATAGAAAGCTTGCTGGGTTGAATATATTGCCAAGAAAGAATAGTACCTCCAGTTTCAACAAGCTTCAGAGTGTTGGAATTTTTCTCGTAACCAAATAATGCCCTAGAGAGTGAAATACAAGTGGCAAAGCATAACATGTATCGAGCTGTATTGTAGCAAAAATTCCCGTTTCAAACGTTTGGACTTTACTTAAACAAACACTCACCAATCTGTTTCACATTTATCATCAAAGATATCTTGCCAAGCCTTTGAAAGGCTAGCACTGTTCGTCTTCAGATCAACAGCCATGTTTACTTGAGAAGAAGCAGGATGTTGTTCCGGCATCCGGGTGTGGTCAAGTTCCGGTATAGGTTTTAACTCCTGAGGCATGGGAAAGAGGAAATAATTCGATTGAAAAGCACAGTCACAAAATGTCTTGTGTGAAAAGCGATTAATGCGTTTTTTGGTGCTAAACATGTATATTTTACCCTGTATATTCTCGATTTCAAGCTATCGTTGTTTCGTTTCGTGTGCACTGATTGAAGCAAATATATCTCATTCCCTCTTTTCCATTCCTCAGGAGCCGATTGTTCAAAAGCCGGTTAATCTGGATTAACGTGAAATTCAAAGCATACTTTCCAGGAGCTTGTTTTATAAACTTGGAAATATTTATTCAGAAATCTTGTCTGGATCTTCAGAAGTTTAATTTTCTAAAGTTTTGATAAACAGACGCGCAGCAGAAATACATAAACCAAAGCAATGCCGGTTAAATTCATGGGCGTACCGGAAGGAAAAAATTAGGGGGGCGGAAAGAAAATTGCCCGACTTTTCGTGATTGTGCCCAACTAGTACCGAGAAATGTTTTCCGGAAAAATTATTTTGGCGACCTCCCCCCCCCCGGGGGGTCAGTGTACCATTTTAGGGGTCAAAAAAATTTTCCGGACATACCAAAATTTTTCGTAACATCACACAAATTTTCCAAAAAAACTCTACATTGGCCACAAATTGACTACATTTTCGAAATATTTGCCAGAATTTGTCCCATTTATTTTTATAACAAACCAAAATTGCCCGACTGTTAATCGAATATTGCCCGACTGCCCAAAAAACTGGGGGCTACCGCCCCCCCCCCCCGCCCGGTACGCCTATGGTTAAATTTAACCCACGGCTAATCGTGAACAACCGGCTGATGCGCTAACTTGTGGGGGGTAGTTAGAAAATGATATTGATTCTCGCCATTATATTTTGTGGTATTTGGTGGTCAATAACTAGAATTGAGAAATGTAGTTTTAATTCTCTTGTTCTCCTGCTGCTTTCTGACGCTTACGAAGCCATATCCTTATTTGTTTTAGTGAGAGCTGAGTACTGTGTGAATATTGCATCAATATCCCATGTGGAGCGACCAATCAAATAAAGGAATACCAGATATTAACCATATAAGTTACAAGTACATACAATCTAGAGCTATAACCATTTTGGTCGTTGCCATAAATCCAACCCCAATCCTAACCCTAATATCAACCTTAAACTAAAGCGAACTCCGAGTTTGAAGTATCTTGAAAAACCCGGCCGGCTCTTGTCTATCCCTTTTAGCCTCCAACCATTTCAGGTATAAACACCATAACTTCCCTACAATATGCTGGTGACGTCACAACATTACTTTAGCAAATTGAATCGAGGTTTAATAAGGCCTTTAAGCCAGGACAACTGGAAACTGACTGGGCTAAGCAGTTGATGGTCGTTCTTTCGTTTTGAGAATCGTCAGTGTGTCCTTGTGCAAAAAATGTTCATCACAAATATTCGCTTTTATAAGTGGATTTCACGGTGCAGCAGATGAATTTCTATATTGTTGTAATCTTGTATTTAGTTGAAAATAAAAAGCCTGACGAGTGAAGTTGACCACTTACTGAAGCATGACAATTGAGATCATTCTTTTTTCTTAATTGCTCAAAGCATCAATGGTTTCACACGCTAAGCCAGCTAAGGGCAAGTAAGGCTCAGTCATAAGTAGAATGAATTGAGACAGGCAGCCTGCCTGTGGCTATTGAACGAAATGTCTAGTGTTAGCTCAAATTACAACCTGCTAGACAAACTTCCTGCAAAATTCAATTCAATTGAAAACAAAGCTAGACTATTTGTTAAATATGTATATGGGTCTATATGTGCATAAATATTATGCAAATCACGTTGTTTCTCAGTGCTGACATTGACAAGCTGTTTTCAAGTGGACGATTTCCGCGTATACTTCGCGAGTAAATTGACCGAATGACTTGTCTCGCTCGCTTGTGGACAGTGGACTTATGTTATACTAAATGTTTGAGGATAACATTTAACGACAATCAAATTTAACTGATCTATCTGTTTGTACTGTTTAGTTTTGTCCTTGGTGAAAGTAAGTGTTCATTCAACTTTATCGGATATTTCACTGACGTATTTGGCATTTAGCCTCATATATTTACTTAAGCATAAAAGCCTTATAGTCATACATGAAACGATTAATTTCTACTTGAATATTTGAATGTATCACTTCTGCCAAAGTAAAGACTAAAGTTTATCTTTCGATTTATTTTTTCATTACAGAGTCCGTATAAGAGTGCTCTTATGTGAGACTCAGTGTGCAGCTGCTTTGATGTTGTTTAATACTGAGTGTTGACATGTCTACTGCCTTTGTTTGTGTATAGCAACTGAGAATATCGAGCTAAATGTCTGAACAGGTATAACTATTTAATATTTGGCTTTCGTTTTCGCGTGCTCCTTGTATTCTTTACATTGTATCTTAATTACACAAAAACTATCTCACTCCTTCGACAGTTTATTAAATACAACATCCACTGTTTAGCTTTTAATCCTGATGTCTTATTTATCCCACATGTAATTTAATTAAGGGTGATTAATTTAAAGGAAAACCGTATTCGTCTTTGCGCATGCTTATTGTTAAAAGATGGCGGTCACATGACAACTTCCAAACAAAGTTTGGGGGGTTCAATAACAGCTGCCTACTGTCAGAAAGCAGAGGTCACACAACAATGTTAGATTGCTCTGAATTGCTAGCATTTCACGTAGTGACGTAGCACTATCGTGGACAATGTAGATGCAGTAGCCTTGTATTTGGAAGCGAGTAAGTCAGTAAATTGGAGAGATTCAGTAAAATTTGCTTGCCCATTCATAGTATTGCCTTGTGATGCAAACTAAAACCCACCAACTGACAAAACTGATCAACGTATTTTGAACTCATTAGGAAGCTTGTAGTCCCTCGAAGCTCTCGAAAAATTCCTCTGACATTCGTCTATATGAACGAGCACGACTACAGAGTTTTCAAAGTTTGCTTCATGGCTCACTGGGGCGTGTGCGTTCGCCAGGAAAACATCCTCGGGTGTTGCTCGAAGATCTCCTAAAGGCCGAGGTAATAATAATTCAGTCGAACTTTTCTAACACAGACACCAAACAGACAAAGCAAAGTGTTCATGTTGGGAGGGGGAATGGTGAGGTGTGGGGAGAATAGTGGGGGCAGCGGAGATGTGTGTTCATGTTAAGTCTGGTTTCCATGAGTCGTAACCATTGGTCGTAACCTTTGCGAGTATATCAAGGCAGTGGGTTGTTGGTGAGTGCAAGTATGCTTCTTCATTCAGACTTCAGATCCAGACTATTTCACATTGTCGAATCCGACTTGGCCATGGCAATTACGACCAAATGGAAACCCAACCCAGTGAACTATATACATATATAGTATATACTATATACATATATGTTACATAGTTCAGTGACCCAACCTCGTACCCAGGCTATTTTCTCTTATTCTCGAAAGACCCTGGGTACGAGGATGATGGAAACCAGACTTTAGACAGGTGTCTGAAAGACGATGTTCGACTGTATTTATAGCATGGTCGAGTGTATGGGTAACCAGTACTGTCTGCAACTAATCAGCCCTAGAGATTCAACGCCATGTCGGACAATATAGGCACAGAATACTACACAGAAGTCCATCTCCATTGTTTTTTGCGTAAGCGTTATTCGTCATGATTCGTCACTCAGCAAGTACCGTAAACAGAAGCAGTCACCCCCCTGGACGTTCGCCATTTTTAGTATTTCCAGGAGGGGGACTGCTTCTGTTTACGGTACTTGCTGAGTGGCGAATCATGACGAATCGCGCTTACGCTAAAAACAATGGAGATGGCCTTCTGTGTAGTATTCTGTGATATAGGTGAAGGTAAAAGTACTAAACCATCCGAGTTGGGGCTTACTGAGGAACCATGTTTGAAAACATAGCATAGCTAAGGTGTAAGGTTTAGTTTTTGGTGAGGGAAAAGCCCAGAGTATTACATGAGTTTTCAGGCACATCAAGTCAGAACAGGGCTACCCATTAACGAACTATTCCCTTCCCACAATCTTCAGTCGCAGGTGACTTGACAGTGGTAAGGAACAATGCGTTAACCCGTGCTCTTGTGGTATTTTTTTCGTATATCTATGAGTATGTAACTCCAAGCATGTATTACCTTATAAGGTATTGTCATCCCAGCTGGTGTTAGCCATTGAAGATCTTGTGAAAAGCCTTCTGGGAATGCTGGACACAGGACACGAAAACGGGGAAGATTATGGGATGTCGAGTACGACAGAGGATGAGTCGATAAAAAGTTTTCGAAGTGCGTTAGTACAGAGTGCCAATACCCTGGATGAATTGACGAAATTACAGATATCAGAAAATGGCAAAGAGGTGAAGGATGCACCAAATATTGAAAATGGTACTTTGTTTGTAAATAGTGCTTCGATGGTAGACCAACATGGCACCAATGGTGAAGACGGAAGAATTGATAACAGGTACCAAATATTTTCATGAAACATTGTTGCCACCAAATTCAGATTGTGTTTCCTGTTTTGACAGCTTCGAAAAACATGGGTATTAAACTTTCATCAAAGCAACTAAAAATAGCGAAAAATTATAAAAGTAGTTCGACACTTGTCATAGCCTTTAAAATGCCGTTTCCACTTCAACCGTATCGTACTAAAGTGCGTATTTCGTTGTTTCCTGAGCAGTAGTGTGGAACTAATGACTTTCCCACAAAAGAAAATGCTTCGATACGTTACGATTGAAGTGAACAACGGCCTTTAACTTACTGTGCAATTACAATCTAACTACTTGATAATTCCGAATTAACTCTACCGACAAAAGTCAATTTTGCAAACTGGATTTGCTTGTACTAGAGGCGGCCATCCTGTACTGGACACTTGGGAAATCCCCAAGGGTGACAGCTTCATACAATTTCGACTGTATTTCATTTCTATAGACTTGACAAGATTTTATCCTACGGCAGTGACAGTACGACACCGGGTGAAAAATCGTCGTCGTTTTCAGCAAGAGCAAGTGAGTTTGGTAGTACATCTCCGTCCGATGTGACTGCCTGCGAGGATGACATGAGTGGCGGGGAGGAGAACAGGAGGAATTGTGATGTGACCTTTTTACAGGAAGCTGTCAAAACGTTACGTAGTGAAATTCAAGAGCTGCAGACAAAACATGAAGTGCAGTTTATGACGTTTGCTAGCAAATTTGTAGAGCTTGAGCAAGGTTAGTTGATTTCGACGCACAGTAGAACCTTTCCGATACGGACACTGGAGCGACAAAACAAACTGTCCATATTAGATCGAGAGGTGTTCGTAAAGAGTTTCGACCATGCAGTGGTTTCGACGTATTCCTTGTAACAGACGTTTCCAACCTCGTTCCAGTTGATCTTTTAGTGGCGTCTTAGTTCTTTCCTTTCGTTGTCGAACATTGAACTACTGATTTGCGCCATTGCGTTTTGACTTTTTCCTTTGGCTTTTTATCGTTCCATGTACGTCCATTGCCTTTCCCATCTTCTCTCCACCGTTCTCTTCCATGTTTGTGCGCGATCTTCCTCTTTTTCTCCTCTACGCATCTCCATTCATTGGCAACTTTTTATCACTGCCCCATTCTCAAAACATGTCCATAGCAAGAAAGTCTTCTTTTCCTTATCTTGTCGGTACGAAAAATGAACGTGCTTTGTGATTGTCGTGTTTAAACAAAAGTGATCAGTGTTTATGACTCATTCTTTAGACTGAAATTTATTTTTTAGGTTTATTGTGTTTCATTGTTATAATCGCACAGAACCTTTATATATGTTAGTGGCAACCCGGCAAATATTTGAGCAGAATGCATGCTCACACACCTCGTCACTCGTGACACGGTGTACCCATGTATCCGGCCACTCACAATCATTCCACAGGACTGATTTATGATTAATAAACGTGGTAGTATGAAAATTCATTTTGTTTATTTGTGTCTATGCAGACGATCATCCGAATATGAGGAGGACTCTTGAAAGAATAATGCAGAAGCTTTCTCCCCAAGGTGAAGAACAACTTGAGTTTTTCATATCGTAAAGATGTATACATGATTTGTAAATGCGATCATAACACCAGTACCAGGGTTACACCAATGTTATACTTGTTTACAGATCTGTAACAATGTATGCAACTTTACGCGTGTATACGCACAAGTTGTAACAAGGTTGTTGTCAAGCCGATATCAGCCAGATGATCTTGATACGCGGAAAAGTACTGGCACTAGTTGTCAAATAGAAATCCATTTTATGATTAAAACAACTGAATATCTCCTGTAATATACTTTATTTCGATTCCATATTTTTGTCAGAGCTATAGTTCTCATAACCAAACATAATTACAAAATTTCAACTAGTTTCATAAAGAAAAACGAAAGATATAATTGACTGAATACATCAAAATGGATTTCTATTCGGACAACCCATTCTGGGCGCTGATTGACTAAAATACGAACACGAGATCACCTGGAGGGTGTGTTCGCCGACTATACTTGTTCCCAGTTGTGGTGACAAGTCTGGAACATATTGTATGTTCCAACAAGACTAATACAGGCTGTTCGTAGCAAGTTGCTACAAGCTGGATGTCATCAATGTGTTAACAACTTGTGACGTGCAGACGATATCAGACTTGTTCGAGAACAACTTACTGCGAGTCTGTTGGTCTCATTAACCTTGTTACATGATGATAACAACTTGCTCCAGACTTGTCACCAACTGGGAACAACCAGTATGAACGTATCTTGTTGGCAAACTGCGAAATTTTTAGATGTGTACAAACGTAAAAACGCGCAAGTTGTTACAAGTCTGCAAACAAGTTATAAATCCGTTCACAAGCTGTCGACAAGTTGTGTTCGCACTGCTTGTTCCCAATTGTTGTAACAAATTTGGAACAAGCTTTAACAACTTATATAACAAGCTTGATGGCATTATCAGACTTGTTACAAGGTTGTTCTAACAAGTCTGATACAGTCATATGATATAACAAGATTGCTACAAGGTTGACGACACAAAGTTGTAACAGTACTGTTGTATCATGACTGTATTGGACTTGTTGGAACAACCTTGCAACAAATCTCATAATATCAATAAGGTTGTTACAAGTTGTTCACAGCTTGTTGGCAGACTTGCTACAAGATGTGAGTTTTTCCGTGTGTACATTGAGGGTGGTGTGGAAGCACGCTACTTACACGTGACTGAAATCAGACAAATACATGTTGCAGGAATCGCGCCACTACACACGTAAAAATCTCGCAACTTGTCAACAAGATGTGTTCGCAACAGGCTTGTAGCATGCTTGTCAACAAGTTGTAACAACGCTGTTATTTTATCAAGTTGCTACAAGGTTGTCACTCACAACTTGTTGACAAATTGTTGAATTGCAGGACGATAACTTGTAACAAGTCTGTTGAGCTCAACAACCTTGTAGCAAGTTGTCAACAAGCCGTTGACAACTTGTCAACAAGCTGGGAACAAGCAGTGCGAACACATCCTGATGACAAGTTGTTGGAACAATTTGGCTGGGCAAGCAAGCCGGGGTCGTTTTATGGTAAATTCCCAGCCCGGTCACCCGAGTTCTTGGGTATAAGTCGAGGCCGGATCTCGCTCAGGAGGGCCAGCTCAGTTCCCAGTTCTCGCCTAACTAACTATAGCTTCGCCTCCAATTGCACCCGAACGCATAAAAGGGGAGGTCTGGTCAAATATGTTCCCACTGTTTGAAATAACTCGTTATTCTCTTGCAACAAGCTTAATTTCAGTGTATCGAACTTGTTGCAAGTTGTGTTTGGTATCGTCGTCTGAATTTTGTTGAATTATTGTATTATAGACTATATGTAACATATATATATCTGTGCAAAATGTATAGCATAAAATATATATTTTCAAATTTTACACCAAGGAGCAATAATTTAGATTGTCTATTTTCACATATACATGCACAATTATCTTGGCATTATCATTTGCACTTTATTTTTGAACGCATATTTAAAGTCTTGATGTTTTACGAATTTTGGAAAGACGAGTTTCCCCATTTTCTATTCGGTATATTGCATGTACATTTCTTTCATGGAAGTTGTTTCAAAGTGAGGTAGGAAGTTGATATGTAGAATTTCTTTGAATCCTTCATTCGTATTTGGCTCTTGGTAGGACGACCTAAACAAAGCGAGGGTCGTTTTAATGATCTGGTTTCTTGCACTCCACTTGGTGGAATTATAATATTAGACTGCTGTATTTTTTTAGGGTTTTTCACCCGTCTGACCATTGGTATATGCTGTAATCTGATTATAATAGACAATTCCCATTATAGACTAATTTTAAAACTAGGCAAGGAGATAAATCACTGCTAGAAAGAGCATGCTAAAATGAGTAAAATTGCAAAGTTTGGTTGCCAAATGTTGTAAAATGCGGAAAATATAGCCTATGCACGTACGGGGCGGGGGGGGGGGCAGCTGCAAAGTCGAAAAGATTACAAAGTCGAAAAGTCGGGCAAATGTTCAACAAAAGTCGGGCAAAAAGTAGTCAAAACAAGAAAATCTCTCTTAATAATAACCGCAGTTTGTTGGGCAAACAAAGCCAGTTGGGCAATATTCGCTTCACAGTCTGGCAATATTTGGTTATTATAAAAATAAATGGGACAAATTTTGTGGGAAATTATGTTAGATTTTTGGGGAAATTTGTTTGATGTTCCGAAAAATTTGGGTATGTCCGAAAAATTTTTGGACGCCTAAAATGGTACACTGACCGAAATTTTTTTGGCGACGGGGGGGGGGGGAAGTTGCCAAAATAAATTGTTCCGGGAAAAAATTTAAGTCTGGCTCCTTCAAAACAGTTTTGCTATCACGCTCACACAAGCTAACAGCCACAAGGCAATTTCTGCACCCAATACAAAATTTGCGAACTTTGCAAGGCTATATTTTCCGCATTTTACAACATTTCGCAACCAAACTTTGCAATTTTACTCATTTTAGTAAGTTCTTTCTAGCTGTGCTGATTTATTTGCATCTCCTTGCCTAGTTTTAAATTTAGTCTATAATGGGAATAGTCTATTTCAGTAATTTCACCTCATTCGTAAGAAGAGTGCTCGACTCCATGTTTTTTTCTGGGAATATTGAAGTGTCCTCCTGTGGTCACCCCACGATCATCCGCAAAATATATTGCGACTTTGGATTCCCCCCTAATAACTTTTGTGCAACGACCAACGTATATTTTACTGATCAAAACCAGGCGCAAGATAAATTTTAATCCAAACCGCGTCTTACCTGTATGTGTTAAACACCATTCTCCCAACAGATTTATAATTTTTATCTTTATTCGTTAGTTCTCTTATCTATAACAGAATACAAATATTATAAAACCACACAAAATTTAGCCCGCGTGCAGGCGCAAGGGAAAAAATTTATTGCCCTCGGTCTGGGTCAAAAAACTGACGAAGACCTTGGCATAATTTGGCACATACTCGATTGTTATGCAAAGCGTGATCGTGGGTAACATTAAAAAGAAAACATCGAACAGGCACATTCTTCTTCTTAGCCGCTTGAATGTATCTGGAAAAAATTGAAGACAAAGTTAACGCAATCGAATTGAAACCTAGGAAATTTGGTCTAAGCTTTATGTAATATTTAAAATCTGATTATGAGGACTGGACTAGATTCCAAGTCCGACTGCCCGAGGCGAAGCAGAGGACTGGATCAAGATGTGATGACTTGAAATCTAGTCCAGTCCAATTGGATTTGAAATGACATCTCATGCGAATAAATCACCACGCAAAGTGAGGTGAATTAATTTTGATCCAGTCCTAGGACTGGAACAATATGCTTTGTTAGGTATCCAGTATTATCATGTGAGCAAAATAAAGCAATATGGTTGGCTAATTTACTCATGAATTATTAATGAGTTTGAGATAACGGGGTAAAATTAATTCGGCACACGGCAGGCTTCGTGATTAGATTTGCTCATGAAGATCTAAGACTGACTGATCTGAAGATTTCACTGTTACTGAAATGGGACAAAATCGTCCTCTATTTTCTTTAGTTTTTACAAAACACGTTCTCTTGCCGAACCCACTGCACCGACCTTTGTCTAGATTCTTTATCGGGACTTGTATTGTCGATAACGACGCTCTTTTTTCGCGCCAACTCTGAGCCGCACATCGCCACGCACTTTTGCCACTTTCCAACTGTGTCCTAGAAACGTTTCGTAAAAATCTCCATAACTAGATTTAACTTTGGCCTCGTGGATTTTAACAATTTTAAATCGAAATGAAATGTGTACAAACTTACCCTGTTGACATGCACGTAGCCATTTGGTAAAAGATGTTTTTTCACAAAAGTTGTTTTACCCGCTGGAATAGAAGAAAGATATCAACCTTTTCACATTTAGGAGTTTTATACTCTAAAGATCACTGTAAAAGGTATAATAGGAAATGTGTTTTCAGTACTTACAAGCGGGATAGCCGACCATTATTACAACCTATAAGAATAAACCTCAACAGAATGAGCTAGGAAGAACAGTTTAGAACTGATAGAGCTATCTAATATAAATAAAGTTAGTTTAGGTTTCCTCCTGTAGTAACACTGGATCAATAAGAGATATCCTTACTGGACCTCTAGGAAGAACAGTTTAGAACCGATACAGCTATCCAGTATAAATAAAGTTGGTTTAGTTTAGGTTTCCTCCTGTAGTAACACTGGATCAATAAGAGATGATCCTTACTGGACCTCTAGGGAGAACAGTTTAGAACTGATCGAGCTATCCAGTACAAACCTCTTGTTCATTGGAAATAAGTTTTGACGTTGTTGGAATAAACAGCGGTGCATTCTGAGAAATTGCCATCTAGTAAAAGTAAAGTTAAATCACACAATTCAGTTATATCTTGAGACCAGTGTCGAAGAAAGGATATTCATGAGGTTAATTTACCGGGTTAAACTCGGGCCAATTAAAAGATGCTGGCTTTTTGTTCAAAAACAATTCTTCAGGGGTATGGAAAGATATCTCCAAATTCTTCGCGAACTATAGAAAATAATAGATTCCTTAATATAGTGTAATTTAATTAACATGGATTATTTGCACAGTAAAACTTAGTACAATGTAATAGTCTTACGGTTCTATCACTACATGCAAAATCCTTCTTCATTTTTGGAGCCCAGTTTACAGGCCTTCCAGCGGCATCTAAATAAGTCGATGACATAATGTTCAGGACAATGAGGAGGGAACCTAAACTAAACTAACTTTATTTATACTGGATAGCTTTATCAGTTCTAAACTGTTCTTCCTAGAGGTCCAGTAAGAATCATCTCTTATTGATCCAGTGATACTACAGGAGGAAACCTAAACTAAACGAACTTTATTTATACTGGATAGCTCTATCAGTTCTAAACTGTTCTTCCTAGAGGTCCAGTAAGAATCATCTCTTATTGATCCAGTGATACTACAGGAGGAAACCTAAACTAAACGAACTTTATTTATACTGGATAGCTCTATCAGTTCTAAACTGTTCTCCCCAGAGGTCCAGTAAGGATCATCTCTTATTGACCCAGTGATACTACAGGAGGAAACCTAAACTAAACGAACTTTATTTATACTGGATAGCTCTATCAGTTCTAAACTGTTCTCCCCAGAGGTCCAGTAAGGATAATCTCTTATTGATCCAGTGTTACTACAGGAGGAAACCTAAACTAGACTAACTTTATTTATACTGGATAGCTCCATCAATTCTAAAATGTTCTTCCTACAGGTCCAGTGCATATTGCTGGTCACATGCAGAAATGAAAGACGCATGCGCTGTGCCACGAACAAAGATCATATAAACAAACCTCCAACGTAAAATGATCTGGTATGATCAATTGGCATGCCGTGATTTTGCTAAAAAATAACATTTATCCTGTTTACTTCATAGCTACTACAACTCATAACCAATTTGGAAGTCGACAAATTAAAAGAGAGATTAAAATACCTTTTCAACTAAATGACGCCACATGCCTTGCATAGGTTTACGATAAATATCTTTACTAGTCGCAGCAAAAACCTGGTAAAGCAAGGAACATTTTCATTCAATACCACCAATAGTCTGTATGACCAATCGTTGGCAAAATAATTAGCATAAACATTAACATTAAAGTTTTGCAAAACCTTAAAGTTATTTTGTCATATGGTAAAGAGAAACTGCAATACCTGTAAAGGAACTTTTAATTTTGACGAGATATTCTCCATTTTCCTCTGAAAATCTTCTTTTTTCAACTTCCCTTTACTGATCGGCCCCTATATGTCATTGAAAACAACAAAATAAAATATATATTAACTTTCCCGTCTCTAATGTGAATTTGGTTATTGGTTTAATGAAGCATTAAGTTCAATTCAATACCTGATTTGTAAATATAACGATCTAAATATGATCACAAAGAAAAGAAAAATCAAAATTAGAAACGTTGCCATGGATGGGCGCACTTTTTTCATTTCAGCAAAATGAAAAAAAGTAGAAGCCATACCTTAAAACCATCTTTATGTAATGACTGTAATTTTCCTGGAATTTCTGGATATTTTATTCTGTGGAAACCAATGATATATAATATACAGTAACCATCCAGTAACCAACTTTATTTATACTGGATAGCTTTATCATGTTCTAAACTGTTCTACCTAGAGCATACGTAGAGGTCCAGTAAGGATCATCTCTTATTGATCCAGTGTTACTACAGGAAGAAACCAACCTAAACTGAACCAACTTTATTTATACTGGATAGCTCTATCAGTTCTAAACTGTTCTCCCTAGAAGTCCAGTAAGCATCATCTCTTATTGATCCAGTGTTACTACAGGAGAAAACCTAAACTAAACTAACTTTATTTATACTGGATAGCTCTATCAGTTCTAAACTGTTCTTTCTAGAGGTCCAGTAACAATCATCTCTTATTGATCCAGTGTTACTACAGGAGGAAACCTAAACTAAACTAACTTTATTTATACTGGATAACTGTATCAGTTCTAAACTGTTCTCCCTAGAGGTCCAGTAAGGACAGTATCTTTTTGATCCAGTGTTACTACAGGAGGAAACCTAAACTAAACTAACTTTATTTATACTGGATAACTCTATCAGTTCTAAACTGTTCTTCCTAGAGGTCCAGTAAGCATCATCTCTTATTGATCCAGTGTTACTACAGGAGAAAACCTAAACTAAACTAACTTTATTTATACTGGATAGCTCTATCAGTTCTAAACTGTTCTTCCTAGAGGTCCAGTAAGCATCATCTCTTATTGATCCAGTGTTACTACAGGAGAAAACCTAAACTAAACTAACTTTATTTATACTGGATAGCTCTATCAATTCTAAACTGTTCTCCCTAGAAGTCCAGTAAGGACAATATCTTTTTGATCCAGTGTTAAAATAACCATGATTTATTATTTAGTTCAACTTACTTCCAGTCCTCGGGTCCAGTAGCAAACACACGGCCAGATTTAGTAGTAATGATGGTTCCGTCAAGATCAAAAGATGCCACCTTAATGATACACGCAAGGACATTGGAACAAACGAAAACATATCAATGAAACAGGCATTCTCAAACTCGTTAATAATTCATGAGCACGTCCATAAATTATGTCAACTTTTTTTTCAATACTGGTTTATTTTCGACGTTCGTGCAACTTTTTAGCCTATTTAGTTCGCAGTGAACTGGATGGACGAAATCGGCAAATTTGTGTATGGTCCAGTGGTCACTGAAGGTTACGCTTCTACTATACCAGATAGCTTTCCGTAGCGATGCGAAAAAGCACCTATGTCCGATACGATATGTACAACTATCAGAAGCTGAGCGAAACAACATCTCTCCATCGCGATAATTCCTCTGAAAATAGCGTTCCTAAAAGGTACGGATAAGGCTATGTTTACATTGTATCGGATCACTTTGCGTCCGACGCAAAAACCATACCGGATAGGGCTTCTGTTTACATATGAAATGTTGTTATCGTCTCAATTTCTGCAACGAACCGGTGGTGCGGCGGTTCGCTCTTCGAAGTGGTGCGCCGTGTATCGGATCGGTTTTTGCAACGCTCTCATTGCAATGTAAACACCAATCGGGGCAATTTTCGGTTCAATGCGTGACTCAAGATGGCATCAGGGAAACAAAGACTTGCTATTCTAATCTTATTTGCGGGTATAGCTTGCTCACTTATAATATTTTTGTATTTAGTTGGGCGAGGGCGGAAGCTGTTTACACTTGGGCCGTAACGTTTCGTGAACGAAGCAAAAACCGATCCGATACAATGTAAACATAGCCTAAGTGGGGTTTTTTACGTCGCTACGGAAAGCCATCCACAAAAGTGTAAGCATGGCCTAACTGTTTCATAATTATTACATAGACTGTACCTTTTCTCTAGCCATAAGACCGGCAGAGCTGTGTATCAAAAGCGTACCAGACGAGCCTTCATCCCATTGAGAACATTTTGATGGTTCAACCTGAGCATCTACTTTACCAGTTGGCGAACTTTTCGCAACCTCCGAATCCACTCCATCTTGCGAATTATTGATTGCCTCAATTATTTTCTCGCCAAATTCTGCTTTAAGATCGTTTATATCATCTTTATTTTCATTTAATTCAACATCAAGTTTGCTAGTTTCAATTCTCGATTTATTTTCAGCCGTTTTTTGTCTTTTAAATGGTCGAACACCGCTCTGTCCCGAGTCTGGTTCATGTCTACGTTTTTGGTTTAAATTTTTATCGTCTAACAAGTCTTTACTACTGGTATTTTCGCCTTGTTTCGTAAAATAAACAAAATGTTCATATTTAGCAGCGAGAAGGTTTATTTTCCCTCCTGGACCGAGCGTGTGTGTTTTATGTTGGGACAAAGACGTGTCTCCGACAGTACTTGGGTTCACACCGAGCTACAAACATAACATAAATATTTTTAAAAAACTCATTAATAATTCATGTAGGTGGTTTACACCCATTTTCAAAATTACGCGATCTCCCTGAAAAATACTCTTACTTCAAATGTCAGTTTTATGTCACAAAAACTGCTAAAAATAGCAAACGTAAACAAACTGGCAAAAGACATTTTAAATCGTATTTAATACCAAAACTGAACAAAAATGAGCTAGATAACTTGGATATACCATCTAAAGCACAATACAAACCATCACAACAGAAATATGTGCCGTGAATAACTTTTAAAGTTTGAAAAATAACAATTTATCCTGGAATTTAGCTGTCCGTATAAAACACGCGCGCTAGACTATAACGATATGTTATGATTTTGTTTGTGCTTAAATTTTGCAATAATTCTCACTAAAATATCTTGAAAATCATTGTAAGCCTGTTTATATAAAGCATACAAAGCATATATACATCGACAAGGAACCGCAAAACTCGAAGTTTAAACTTCGTGACCGAATGACATAAAACTGACATGTCAACTCTAGCATTTTCGTCCTTGGTCGCGTAATTTTGAAAACGGGTGTAATTTATATGTGATAAAAAATCATGTTCTTTTAGACAACGTTTATTTTTAAAATTACTTCGCCAATGAACTGTTTAGATTGCTCGTTTTTTAAGCATTTAAAACACTCCCAGTACGTGCTTTATCAGATATAAAACACTCGAGCTGTGCTCTCGCGTTTTATATCTGATAAAGCGCTCGTGTTTTAAATAGTACTTCAAAAATCATAATTCATGAGGAAAACACAAAGAAAAATCATAAGCGTGTCGTATCTTTATATGTGATAGAGATTTCCCTTGATTTACATAAATTTTAACTTTGATTTTTTCGACTTACACAACGTATTTGTTGGAAATTACTTCGCCAATGAACTTACTGGATCGATCATGGGCATATTTACTGGGGGAGGGGTTAGGTGGGGTTAAACCCCCTAGAATCTCTCTAACCCCTCTAATAAAGTGCTCAACCCCACCAAAATTTTGTGTGAAAGGCTTTAACCTAAACACCTAACCTCTGCTGAAGCTCACCGAGTGGTGCTGCTTGCACCCCACCAGAAATTTTTCTACCCCTCCTTTTAAATAAATGAAAATCCGCCCTTAAGATCGATCGTTTTTGAAGCAATTTAAAACACAAGCAGGAGTGTTTTATCAGACCTAAGGACGTTATATCTGATAAAACACTCTGCTCGTGTTTTAAACAGCACTTAATGCTTTCCTATACTGAAACTGCTGTTTATATCATTCGGTTTTAAATTGAGTTTATCACTTGTTTACTCACCTGTTTCACAAAAACGGTTTGTTTTTCGTAATCTGCAGTCAGCTCAACTAGAGATAAAATACAGTACAAGCTGTACAACCAAAACAATATAATTATATTTGCAAGAGTTGAAATAATGTTTGCATTCTTATAAGATTTAAAATAACTAGATCTCCATTGTCATATTGCTGAGTCATATTTTCTCATTTGATTAATATAGTATACGTAGATCATATTTTACAAATGTCAAATATAGCTAGCAGTTCAAAATGTAAATATGTAAACTAAACAAAGCGTTTCATATTTACATTACGCCAGTTTACAGCAAATTTAAATTTCCAGTCTGGGTAGAATAAACACGGCGCAAAGAATAAGAATTTAAAGCTACTGCTGTACGTGTGTACAATACCTAGTAACCTGTACCTTGTTTCCTAGATACTTTCTTATCCGTAATTTTTGTCACAGGTGTTCGTCCAACTGTGACTGCTTTTTGGTCAGGCAAGAAAATACGACCGTGAGTTTTATCACTGCACATGAGAAAACACTCCATATTTACTAAAACTCGCCTTCTTAACACGGATCGCAAAGTAGCGAAGACAAAAAGCATCAAAAATAAGAAAATTGTAAATATTTTCTGCCCTTTTCGGCCGCCATATTGAAAATCGCCGGGGAATACTTCATGTAACAAAATATCAAACCAAGTGCCGTCGTTTGCGTCTAAACATGAACAGGCGCAAACCGGAAGAGCTTGGGAACGAGGTTGGCGCAAAACAGTCGTTTTTCATGCTACATTCAAGTATTGACATTTGGTATGTGAGCGTAAAGAAGGAATACTTTGATATGTATATTTTAATTTAGGGGTACTGTCTGCCCTCGTGAAAGATTCTAGACAATTCAAACAACGTGAAAAGCGACTTTTAAAAGTTGCAACTGTAAATTTACCATTATACAAACAACTACAATATTAGAAAGTTGTATTTCGTGGTGCAGAGACTCTCAAACGTGGGAAAGGCAGTACCTTACGTTAAACTGCCTAGATTCGACTGTTATAAACACTATTTCTTTGTTATAAGGGGCCATTCCATTTAATGTACACACCCCCTATGGACAAGTTCAATAAAATTTGAACCCCTAAGAAAAAAAGATCAAAGTGCCGACACAAACACCCCCTAAGAAATTTTTGCCTTACCCCTCAGAAAAAACGCAAAGATCAAAGGACGCCGATGCACACAACCCCTCAGAAACGACTTTTTCAAACCCCCTCAGAAATTCTCGTCCAATTTGGGGGGGGGGGGCGGTGTATATTAAATTGAATGGCCCAAGAATTATTCCGTTTTGGAACGACTGCAAGTGCCCAAATACATATTTTATATATATTATCATTTTCTAATTTTTGTCCGTGGTAACCGTGGTTTCTTGAATAAATCGACCGATTGCTCAGTAGGAGATTTATTGTTGGTGCAAATCCCAATCCCCGTGAAAAAATAAGGCAAATCCCATTTTATCCCTTCAGGACCTTTCTGTGTCATCATCGGAGCCTAGTTTCAAGTCTCAGATTTATAAAACGTCGCTTGATTGGACAGATTAGTCTCGGAATGAATTCTGCCGCGTTGGTGAGCCTGCGAGCAAGACAGCCGACCCAGGAACATTCGTTGAAATGCGTGCTTGAACTCTTTACTGCGATACCAATAGATGAGCGGATTTGTCATGGAATTGACGAACGTCATAATCTTCACGATCGCGTTGAAAATTTGCTTCTGTTCTCCGACAAACGATTCAAAACAATATTCGCAAACGTTTTGCACGTAGTAATAGATAGTCGAAGGCAGCCAGCACGCCATGAAAATCCCGACGACTATAAGCAATGTCGTTGTAGCTTTTCTTCGCTGTTTCCACTGCTGTAGGCGACTTTTCATGTTAACTCCGGGGCGATTTTCTTTTTGTATTGTCTTCACATGTGACATTGCGATCCTGTAGATGTACGAGTAACATATCACTACTATTAGTAGCGGAATGACGACATTCTTATGAATAACCATAAGACTCCACCATTTGGTGGGCCTATACAAACAAGGACCCCCGGCGCTGGGATCCCACGGGATAAACGGCAACAGCGCAACTATGAGCGCGTCTACCCAGGCCAAAATTAAGAAGAAGATGATTTTGTGTCCAAAACTCGGATTCACGCTCTGTAGAGGGTATTTAAGCGCGAACATTCTTTCCAGGCTAACTAGGACCAGACTTGAGACGGATGCGTATTCGGTGAAAAAGTATGTAAAGCGAAATATGTCACAAACGACCCCCTCTCCGTCTTCACCATCGACGATTTTCTTCGCAATGTAAGCCGGCATCGCGATAGCACCACATAGAAGGTCTGCAATTGCTAGATAATGAAAAAAATAGTTGTGAAAATTTTTGATCCACCATAGGCGTATAGGCCGAGAACACGATAGACAATACCCAGAGGACAATACCCATAAATCACAACAGCTAGAAATGAGTAAAACTGCAAAGTTTGGTTGCGAAATGTTGTAAAATGCGGAAAATATAGCCTTGGCAATGTTTGCAAATTTGGTATGCTTTTGTATTGCGTGAGGAAATTCCTACCACATTTGGGCAATTTCCGCACGCAATACAAAAGTATACAAACTTTGCAACTTTTGCAAGGTTATATTTTCCGCATTTTACAACATATCGCAACCAAACATTGCATTTTACTCATTTTAGTATGCTCTTTCCGGAAATATACTTTTTTTGTCAAGATAAAAAATTAGTCTATCATGGGAATTGTCTATTAGGTGGGGGGGGGGAGACAGAAATTTGACGCTTTCGTCAACATGGATGTCAGATTGTGATAAAACCGGAAAACAGTTCACGCTCCAGATATATATGGAGTTCATTTCCCAAGACTTACCTAGACTTAGCATAGAGTAGTGCATGACGGTACGAAGACGTGGTTGCTGATACATGGCTAAACATACGAGACAGTTGCCCAACACTGAAGCGAGGCTGATGAAACCCAACACCGTGACGAAAGGTACGAGGGGAATGGGCTCACTGCGGGAACTTTCTTCGAACGAACTGCTCATATTTGACATATTCCTGGAAGGGAAAAAGATGCTATATTAGTACATTGTTTAAAACCTTTTAGACTATGAGGTGTTGGAATTAAACTAACTTTATTTATACTGAATAGCTCTATCAGTTCTAAATTGTTCTTCCTATAGAGGTCCGGTAAGGATCATCTCTTATTGATCCAGTGTTACTACGGGAGGAAACCTAAACTAAACTAACTTTATTTATACTGAATAGCTCTATCAGTTCTAAACTGTTCTTCCTAGAGATCCAGTAAGGATCATCTCTTATTGATCCAGTGTTACTACAGGAGGAAACCTAAACTAAACTAACTTTATTTATACTGGATAGCTCTATCAGTTCCAAACTGTTCTTCCTAGAGGTCCAGTAAGTGCGCTAGCGATCCAAAAGTGAAAGCCACCGATGCACCAACCGTATGTCGCCCACTAAATTATTCAACCAACGAACAGCGACAAATTGAACTCAATGAATCAAGAAAAAACAGGAAAAACAACGCAAATTATAGCCAAAAGTTACAAGATAAATCGATATATGACTCATACGTTTTTCTCAATCAACTTTCCATGTAGTATTAACATGCTATATATATGAGTGTCAATTGTTTAATTTGCCACCAGTATATAATGCCGGTTCTTCTTTTTCTACAGTGTTACATTTTATTAGTAAACCTGCAAAAAAATTAAAATGGACTATTCGGAGGCCATTGCAATTATTATACAATTACTTTATGGTTTCCGCGTTTGGATGGCCTGATCCAAACACGCGGGAATGTTGCGAGAGTTAAGAAAAGCGCGCAAATCACTCGCCTTCGGCTCGTGTTCGCGCGCTTTTCTTAACTCTCGCAACATTCCCGCGTGTTTGGATCAGGCCATCCAAACGCGGAAACCATAAAGTAATTGTTTTACAAAATAACAACAACACGATAGGCTTCCGTGTTTGGATGGCCTGATCCAAACACGGGTTTCGACCAATCAAAGCACGCGTTATATGCATGTTATTTTATAAAGTATTCTAGCAAATATTAAGTCGCCGTGGACGCGTGCATGGTTTGTCCCTGAACTACCTTAATATGGTTTGTGATTTAGATTTTCTGACAAAGCGCTTTCGCTCGGAACGTCGAAGGGAGAATCTTTTGTATGCTTTTCACTTGGTTATGAGTCATATTTTTTATGCGTTTCTCAAGCTAGCGACAAACAAACTTAAAAAGTATGTTTAGTGCTTTATCTCTAAAATGATGCTAAAATGAAGAGATTTTAGATAGCACCGTGATGTCTGAAGTTCAGTAATGATGTCTCAGAAGAATTAGATGCTACCCCAAAATAGCGGATATTCGTCATCGTGAGAAAGGTATGAGAAAGGCTAATTTTACAGCATCAATGCATGATAATTGTATTTAAATTCACAATATTTAACTATTATTTTGTGTTTCTCAACCGCCAGATACATTTAACTTTTTAGCTACAAAATAAAGTTACAACAAAGTATTACTAATTTTGAGAGGAACGCCAAAAAGATTTTAGGTTTTTAACACTTTTCATCGCAAATATAGGCGACATTGAAAAACTCTTATAATAATATATCTTAACTCATTGAGCGGCAACACTCTCCCCCTGACGAGTAAAATCATCTGGCGTTATACAGAGTAAATTAACAAAGTGGGGCCCATTGCCACTTAAGGGTTAAACACAAACCACAACATATTAGTCGAAAGGCATATTATAAAAATAAAACTGACCATGCATGCATCAACATCTCGCGCAAAGTGTTCAAAACCTAAAATCTTTTTCACTTGGCGTTCCTCTCAAAATGACTTTGTTTCAGCTTTTAATATTTTGTGTATAGTTTACACAGTTAGCACTGTTTAAATTAAATGTCAATCTGGCGGTCCAGAAACACAAAACAACAGTTAAAAGTTATCAATTTAAATCAATAATCGACATTGATGCTGTTAAATTGACGCCATATTTATACAGCAATACTGATAAGCAAAACTTACTGAACTTCAGACATCATTTTCTCTTTGGCGTACCATATAAAATCTCTTCATTTTAGCATTATTTTACAGATAAAGTACTAATTTTGCCGCTTGAGAAAGTATCAAAAATCAGTTGTAAAAATTGAGCATAGCCATAACCATAAACAAATGGAAAAGTAGTATATTCATTAATTTTGAGCACATCGACTTTGCGTATACGTATGTTACGCAAAGATTCTCATCTTATAGCCTACTGTGAGAAACGTCCGGTTTTATGATGACAAATTTTGGCAGTAGATCAGTAGAAAATAAAGTTTTGACGGGTGTTGCAACTACTTTTATATAGCTTAAATAGAATACATGATAGTGTTTGGAAAGCTGCCATTAAGAACAGCTATAAACCAAGAATCAAGATCATGGGATTATCCAGTCTAATGCACTCTCATCCTCCGCGCGGCGGTTTGATGTGGGCTTAACTTCGAGTCTTTGTCTTTGGATCCGAACAGCAGTCATTCAATCCTATAGCTTCCAAAAGTATAGCCTTAAATCGGCATCCCAATGTTTACACTTATATCAAAGCTTCCATGATCAAAGACAGAATATAGGAATATAGTATAATTTTAGTTCACGTAATAACTTTGACAAGATTGTTGTAAACATATAGTCGATAATTCATAATTGTCATTGAAAAGCCCATTTTAGGGAGTGTCAATTAATAAATTCAATGTCGAACTTTCTCGTCTCAATTCAAAGTACCAAACTAGTTATAGTTACCTAACTTTGCTTCCAGCTAGCTAGTTGATCTCGTTGCTTGATCGCTTATCTGAATAACTCTTTGCCTCGTAAGTCGGGCTCCTTCAAAACAGTTTTGCTATCACGCTCACACAAGCTAACAGCCACAAGGCATTACAAAAGGCTTCTCTTATCTCATGTACGAGACCTATACCTCATGCTGATGACTCAACAGAGCACATGTTCAGTGATAAGAAAGTGATTTAAAGAGAATTGCAGTAAAAAAAGAAGCCGCGGTCTACCTTTGTGGGCGATATGAGAAAAAAGTCTACATCATTATCGAATAGTCTTTCGTTAATGCTTGTTTTCTTGAGATTTTATTTGTGTAACAATTTTTCATTCTTTGACTAAGAACTGTAGTCCACTTTTTATCAGCAAAGTTGCATTGAATATCAAGATCAATTTAATTGCAACTATAATGGCTATATATAACGTATAGATTATTCCATTAATCCATTAATTTCTCAAAATTTCAGCGCCGTTGCAAGGAGATTTTGAGGTAAACTTTGTAGCTTAAAAACAGCTTATGTTTAATAATAAAAAGTGTCTGCAAATAGCAGCTGCTTTGTGTAAATAACGTGTGTTCATGATCAAAGTTTGCAATTTTAATTTTAGAAAAAAGCACCGAGATATGATAGTTTTTAGTTTAATTTGACAGCCTACATGAGTCGTTACTTTTTTTGGCTTTATCAGTTAATTTGTCTTCTCTTTGCCAATCAAATGTCTGCTGGCCATTCCCAATAATTCCTTTTTGACGGACATCACTAAAGTTTAAAATTTACAGTTGCGAATTGAATAATTAAACTCGGTAATTCTTGCGAATAACTAATGAGTCGTTCACAGCGTTTAAAACCACAACGACATTCGCAGACGCACAAACAAATTAACCGTCTTAATTTTAGGACAATACTTCAATTTCAAAAATCCTGGACGTTATACCTCACTTCATAGGCGTACGGGGCTTTTTTGCCCAACAAACTGGGGTTATTATTAAGAGAGATTTTCTTGTTTTGACTACTTTTTGCCCGACTTTTGTTGAACGTTTGCCCGACTTTTCGACTTTGTAATCTTTTTTTTTTTTGGGGGGGGAGCTGCTCCCCCCCCGTCCCGTACGCCTATGCCTCACTTGCATATAATATTCAAACACGAACCAACCCAGTTATTAAAACTAAAGTATGACCTTACCGATTATTCTCTTTTATACCTAATGGGTTTCCATGTTAACTTATTTAGCATGTCAGGGGCAGAAAAAAATTATATTCCCATGTTTTCCTGGAAGAATTTGTGTGATTGTTTCTTGCTGTTCTTAGGCTCAATAACAAAGTAATTTTCAACCCTATACTAAGCACAAAACATAAATAAGTATTTGATACGAAAACGAGGCCATTTGGGTGAAAAGTGAATGAATGGTAAGGTCTGTTGTATTTAAATTGACAAGATTTAACTGTTATTTTGTGTTTCTCAAAATAAAGCTAGACTAGCTAGTAAAACAAAGTAATTTTGAGAGGAAAGCCAAAACAATTTTAGGTTTTCAAAACTTTTCATAGCAAATATGCAATATTGAAACAAAAAATTATCAGGGTTGCAAATTGTAGACATATAGTGCTGCTTAATTATCAGATTGCAATTTGCAAATTATCAGAATTGTATGGCACAATACCCACAAAAGGGCTGCGCATCCTCATACGAGCCTGACTGTACCCTGATTGCCAGAGGTTCTCGATCGTGTATTTATTTCACGTACAAATTACGTAATTTATAATACGGCGGCACAAGAACCTCTGGAACCAGGGTAGAGCCTGACCTGAGGGAACCCGCTGTCACAGTACATGACTCAACTGATAATTGTGCTGTTTCATTACATTTATCAGACTCATGAATATCACGTTGCGATTGCTGTGTGCAGCTGCGAGCACATTATGCCGAGTCTAAATTCAACAATTATGGCAGTTAAATGCAATAAGCATATATATAGGATTATATCAAGGAACAATTCAACTTTCAATTCAACTTCCGTTTACAAATTTTCCTTGACAAGTGCATGGAAAAATTTTTGGAACTGATCCATAGAAGGTCATATAGAATGGAAATTGTACGGACTGCAGGGTTCGTACAAAACTTGAAAGTCCTTGAATGTCCTTGAATTTGAAAACAAAAATTCAAGGCCTTGAATGTCCTTGAATTTGTAAAGAAGTACTTGAATGTCCTTGAATTCTTCTTGCTTTAGTTTTTGGA